AAGTGCATCAGATGTGGCGGCGGTAACCATCGATAGCAATTATTGAGCAGAGCTAGCTATCATGGGCTACTCTCTCAGTGTGCTTTTTTGACACAGCGAGGTAGTATTATTACAGTACTTCCCATGTTTGAAGCCAAATCTCTACAAAACTACAACAAATCTTTATTTTCCTTTCCCAAATTGACACTAAATTTTATTTTTTACCAACAAGACCAACCTCGTCTGTTATTCTTATTCATTTTATTATTCAATGCCACTCCGAGTTATGTGTCACATCATATTGCAATAGTCTTCGAATAAATATCGAATTTCTCAGAAGATGACAGCTGTGGATCCTGCAAACAAAATTCATAGTGAATCAGTTTCTTATAGGTTAATATTGTTGCTATAGTATTGATATTAGTATGTTTGTATGAGATCTGGTGTAATACATGAGCATACTGCTGCCGATTGTCCATGACATGCTGTTGTTGATTCGGGCCAAACATTCCTTCTCTAGCGCCACGAATCGAAGAACGCATGGCATTAAGCAATTGACCGTAAGTCAGTTTTCGTTCAACTTGCATGGCTTGGATGAAGCTGTAAGTCAATGCACCAGAACTTTCCATGCCAGTAAAGGCCTAAAATAAACCAATCAGATGAAAATTATATTCTCTGATTCAAATAAATCGGTAGCATAGAAAAAAAATGCAGCATTACTACTACTAACCGATGTGTCTGCTGCACTTCCATCATCGTCACAAGCTGAAATGCAAACTGCTAGCCCACCTCTTGTGCCTTTGTAACCAGCTCTGTGGCTTCTATGATCTTCCCATCCATAATAACCTTTTCTGTTTTATTTACTCCAAAGAAAAAAAATTATATCTTGGTTTATATGCATATACATATAGCTTTGATTATTAACTAACCTGTTCATCCTGCACATGAATGGTAAATCAAGAACTGTGCCACTAAAGCATGTATCAGTGACAGCATGAAGTTTGGCACCATAAGGTAGAGGCCTAACAATTGTAGCATTGATTTCATCGTCAAGAATCTTCCCTTCGCGCTCATAATCAACAGGGCATATAGCTTCGTCATAGCCATCAACCTCATCCATGCCATGGTCCACTTGCCTTGATCCATGTCCTGAGAAGTGAAGCACCAATGAGTCGCCTGCTTGGCAGCCCTCAACCAACCACTTCATTGCCATTCGCATGTTATATTTTGTTGGAATTCTCGTCGGGTTTCTCTCTCCAGGTTCATCTACATGCCATTTTTCAATGTTATATAGAACTATAGATAGAAATATGATAGAATGAAAGGTTAATCGGGTAGGTAGTTCGTAGTAGTACCTGTGAGCATGCGAACACAATCTGTAGGAAAACCTAACTTTTGTGTGAGAAAGTACTTCATGCTGTGAACATCATTAAGAGAGCCTTTAAGGCTGTTAGCACTATTACTATAGCTAATACCAAACAACACAGCCCTCTTGTTACCATATGGAGAAGGTGGTGTCATTGGAGCTTGTGGGCCCATCAGTGTATGTGGCCAAGACGGACGTCGTCCATAGGCGGCCGGAGGAGGAGGTGAGTTGTTGTTGTTGTTATTGACAAAAGGGTTATTAGGTTGCATGGAGAAACCTTGAGAGTGGCAACTAGAACACATCATGGCCATGGAATTCGCATAGCCGTAGGCTTCTACTTGTATAGCCCTTCCACACTGACTGCATCTTCCTCTTCTGGTTGCCATCTTTTGGGGAATGTTTTGTTTCGTAAAATTATCAGTCAAGAAGGAAAATAAACTGAGAAATGTGTTGATGGTGAGATTGAGTTGAAGGTGTGTCCCTTAAATCAAGTGTGTTGGAACCTTTAATATATTTAATAATATGAAGATTTAGAATCACATTCTATTTGTCTTTCTTGGTGGACAAGGAATATATCAAAACCAACGGTTACTAACCAAATTTTCAGAATATACTTCTTTCTTTTGGACAAAAATTCAAAAATTGCTTCTATTGCATATTCTTCATTAATTGTTTGCTTCTTTTTTTTTATATGTTTTTTGATAAAGTCCCTAATTGATTGCTGAGATGAAGATGACAGAACGATGACATTGGAGGGTAAATTTTCTATAATATGGCTCAGTATTAAAGATTATTAGTTACAAATGACAATAGTTGGTTTTCTATGATTATGAACTGTTGCAGGAATGAAATAAAGTAGTGAGATGATGAGACTGAGAACTTAAGCTTTTAGTCTTCATTTTCATTATTCTAATAAAAGTTTTAAAAAAAAACGAGTATGTGCTTTAACTTGAGAACTCAAGCTTTTAGAATAATTAGTTCATGACAAAAGGAGCACACATCACCAAACCAGCTAGTTGTTTGGTATGAACTATGGTGCAGACAGAGGAAAAAGGAAATAACCAAATCGGTAAAGTGATGGCAGCAAAATTCGTTAGAATTGATGGGCTCGTGGAAGGAATGAGAGTGAGCATGTATTAGATTAGAGAGAATGATAGCATAAGTTTTTGTTTGTAAATCAGTTTTCTATTTTTCATTACTGCAAAATCAGTTACAACAATGAACTTATAGGGCTTAAGAAAATTACATGCTACTGCAGGTTGTAAATATGTGCTAGTGATAAGTTGTCAGTCCATGAATATCTGACTTTTTGGAAATTGCTTATTTTACTCTAAGTATTGGTTCTCCACCTTAATGAAAAATCAAAACTATTTAGAATTCAGAAATGCATCTCCTGGCGCATCCCATTCACATGCGTCTTTGAGCCAGACCCTAAGGCTATGTCAAAAAAATTACATAAATGCATCTCCGCATAACTTACGGAGATGCATCTCCGGACGCTATCTTAATCAAATACGCGCCAGAGTCTCTTCTCCTTCCTCATTTCTCAAAACACTCAAACTCTTCAAGCTCTCAACCTCTCAACTTTCAAACTGACTCGTCTCACAAACTCTCAAACTCATTCAACACACTTCCAAATTTCTATCATCAACATTCAATCGATCAAAGAGTTCAACATCAAACTCAAATTTTGGTAGGTTTTTAATTTCTCTATACTTTTTTTATTTCAATATAAATTTGTAGAAATTGTGCCTTAGATTATGTTATAGGTAATTTGTATATGTTATTTAAATGAGTAATGTGTTTGAAAGATAGTTTAAACGATCAATGCATTTTTTTTAGACTGCATTGTTTCCATTTCGTCAACTCTGTGTTGTAGAACATTATGGAGATGCATTTTCAGATTTTTTTGAACGTTTTTCCAAAATCCAAAGATGCATTTTCGGATTGTTTTTTTTATCTGCATTATTTGGCTTCATTTCATTGTGTTTCATCTGTATTATTCTTGTCCAGTTTAATCATATGCATTATAGATGATAACCAGATAGATTGAGGCACGACAGAGTTACGCAGCATGCATCGATTCAGAGGAAAAGAGCTCGATCGTCGCATATGTCAGTCAATTCTAGTTCGGTTGATGCGGAGGCGTCAACTTTTGGGGCTCATGCATCTCCTCCTTCGTCTTCCTGTAAGAGTTAGCTGTCACCTCCTGATGCCCCGGTAGCCCCGCCGGTATTTGACAACGGATGCTCCAGGAGATCCACCTAGATCAACTCATCATGTGATACTAGAGGAGAAGCAGGCTAGGACTGGTCATGTTGATGTGTTTCCTAGATGTCACTGTATCATGGAGCTTTGGCAGGCGGGTATAAACAAAGGAGTCTTTTCAAATGGCTCTGAGGTGAGGGACATTCTAGATGTCATCATGGGGGAGGCACGAACGGCACTGCAGTACAAGAGAAAACGTAGGAACAAGGAGGCCCGAGTCCGGCGTACACATTAGTATATAGTATTTGTATTAGGAGCACTATTATCATTTTCATATTATTTGATTAGTGAATGGTTTAATTATATAAAATTGAATATGATAGTATAGTTATAATGCATCGTTATTTAAATCAATGTATCTCTAAAACAAAGTCAAAAATTACTATCTTGTGTGAATATGGATATGCATCTCTAGATTCCTATTGGAGCGAATTCGGAGATGATGCATCTCCGAATCAATTTATGTCAAAATGAGTTGTCTCAACAGAAATGCATGGAGTGTGTATAGGATAAATCCGAAGATGCATCCACCTTTAGCAAATATATTTTGGAAAAAAATAGGATGAGACTCACTTTAAGACGTATTTTGGTGAGAAAAATGTACTGTCAGAAAATACACACTTTCAAAATCTGAACGGCATTTTCAAAATTTTTTAGGGTGTTTTTCCACCACTTAAATAAGCAAATCCCTTAACTTTTTAAGTTAGTTATTTAGTTTTACAATGGACCCTTAACACATTCATATTTGCTAATGTACTGCATACATCTTCATCTTCAGTATACCTTCCCCACAACTTGACTGTGAAGCATAGTAAGTTACATTGGGCTTGTGAGACACCTATAACTTGTCCCTGAGTTGAAGATACTTCAATAAAGATAGAGATTTGGTGAGCTCCGCTGTCTATCGATCTATGTTTGGAATATGGATTACAAAGAGTTGTTTTACAATTATATTTTCTCTCAAAAAACAAGTTTTTTGAAAGCAGTGTGACCAAACTTGAAGCACACTTGGCACTGTATATTAGAATTATAATTACGACCTCCTCTACCATGATTGTAATTGAGTCCCTTGGTGAAGAAGGCGATGTGTTAGCACTAGTGGATTTGGTGTGAATGTGTGTGGTATTGTTCAAAGTTTCCTACCTCAGAAAAGAACAAACAAGAACAGAACCAAAATTCAACAATGTAACTTGGAATAAACCATAAACACATTAACAAAAGAGAGTAGTTATTATCAAGAATCCTTAATTTACATCATGTTTAGGAACAGCTAGTGGTCGGACAGAACAAATGAGTCAGTACGAAAAGTACTTCACTTATTCTATCAGTAGGAATAACCTCGCCTATTCCTACACCCATTTTCTTCATCAGAACTGTTATTTATGTGTCATATTAGAAATAACTTGGTAGAAACATCAAACTTCTCAGAAGACGACAGTTGCGGCTCCTGCAAAAAAAAAAAAACACATTTTGAATCAACTTCAGGTAAATAATTGATGAGAGCTTTGGCTTTGTATATAACTGGTACATTACATGAGTATACTGTTGCCAAGTGTTCCTGGCAAGATCTTGGCCTTTTAGCTCATACTTTCCTGCTTTAGCCCAATGGATCGTAAAAAGCATCGCATCAAGCAAGCGGCCGTATGTCAATTTCGGTACATCTTGCATGACTTGGAGGAAACTGTAAGTCAAGGCCTAATTGATACATCAACCATTAGAATAGGAAAAATGAAGATGCATAATGCATTACTAATTTATTACTAACCGATTTACTTGCTGCATTTCCATCGTCGTCACAGGCTGAAATACAAACTGCTAGCCCTCCTCTTGTGCCTTTGTAGCGAGCTCTCCGGTTTCTTTGATCTTTCCATCCAAAAGAACCAAACCTGCTTCAACCCAGTAAAGTCTATTGAATCAGGAAATCTTAAGTTATGTATCAAATTTTGTAACTAAGTGACTCACCAGTTCGTCTTGCACGCAAACGGTAAGTCAAGAATTGTCCCGCTAAAGGATGCATCGACAAGGGCGTGAAGTTTGGCTCCAGGAGGTAGAGGCTTAACAATTGTAGCATTGATTTCGTCGTCGAGTATCATCCCCTCGTGCTCATAATCAACTGGACATATTGCTTCATCATACCCGTCAGCCTCATCCCTGTTACGATCTCTAACCCTTGATCCATGTCCGCAGAAGTAAAACACCAACGAGTCTCCTGGTTTGCAGCCCTCGACCAACCACTTCATCGCCATTCGCATGTTACTTTTTGTCGGGATTGTGTTTTTCTCCTCTGAATCATCTGCATGTTATATATAAAAGATGTTAAATATATATAAATATGCATTAGTACTATAATGTCATAAAAGTTGAACAGAAAGTACCTGTGAGCATGTAAATTGAATTGCTCGGAAATCCCAACTTATCAATCAGAAACTGTTTCATGCACTTAGCATTGTTCGCGGAACCTCTAAGTTTCCTCGGTGCCGCGGTGTCGGCATAACTGATTCCAAATAACACAGCCCTCTTGTTACCAAATACAGAAGGAAGCCTCAATGGAGGATTATAGGGACGAACCGGTGTACCATAGGTAGTAGTAGCAGGATATTGTATGCTGTAATTGTAGTTGTAGAGACTAATGAAAACTGATCCATTTCCATTTCCTGAAAGGCTCCCAGGTGAATTATTTATCAATGTTTTTTCTCTGTGTTTTCCTTCAATACCGTCCTTTAGTCCGTGATTAGCGGATATAATAGACTGCAATTCCACACTAACCAACTCTTGTTTTGTGTTAGTGTACATAGCAATATCATTATCTTGCTTTTGCTGATAAATGCTATTCAACATCGTGTTTTTCATTCTAGTTTTTTCAAGGACCTGAATGCTACCTTGATATAGTGAATGTGAAACCAAGCTGAAGTAAAACTGCTCTTAAACCGCGCCTGTTTGGCAGCCAAAGACAGTGAGGAAGGAGAATCTATCGATTGCGTTTAAGATGAGATTTAGGTAAGTCTTTGAATTATGATCACTTATCATGAGGAACTAGATGCTGCAACCTTCTTTATTCTCTATTCAGTTAAAGGGAAGGAAGACTATATTCTTTGTATACAACTTGAAATTGAATATCATGGCAAATTTTGATTCCTAATCATATGGTAGGATGAGATAGAGAGGAATCTAGTCTGAAAAATGTCACGCGTAGATGTGATAGTAATCATATTGTACAGTATTATTTATTTCTTCTTTCCCAACTTCTCACTCACCTTTATCATTTATTTGATTGGATGAGATTTTATAAGCTTTGTAAAAGAGACAATTCTTCGAACGACTAATGCATCTTTCGCTAAGCTTGCACTCCAAGAAACGAGAAGAGTATGTCCTTGAACTCTTATTTACATATTCATTCTTGATCAGTTCCTATTTACATGATTGCATCTATTCTTCTTGTAGCTTTAGTTGGAACATATAATATATACATGATTTGTGGAATTGCAAAGAGTGTTTGAATCGGTTTATTTACGAATGAAAAGAGGTATATTAACTTGAATATTCCCAAGAGGACTCTTTTCTAGATTGCTCTTCAAATCAACTCAAAAGTTACTTGCAGTGAAAATGCATTTCGAAACAACTTCATGTATATTATGGCATGTTGTAAAAAGATACAATGTATTACTGTTGGCTATGATTTTTACAAAAGGGTCAAAATCCAATCAAAAACAAAAAGAGTTTTGATTGTATCTGATCAGAGTGGATCGTCAAAGTCTTACATTCGAGCTGAAGTTGAAAGCGAGATGAGGGTACATGCAAGACACTTCGATGTCAAAATAAGTTTCAGAGAGTGCAAGCAAGTGTGAGTATGAGAATGAGAATGAATATCTGACCCTCTCGAATGAGAAGGTATTTATAGTCTCCAACGCTGGGTTAAGGTCTCTATTGTTGGGTCACATTGAGGTTTAATAATGAAGACTGTCAGAGCTTACGTGTGTATGGAGTCCAGCAAGTGGACTCCCCCCTGGTCAACTATTCCGTGAGAATAGGAGTTGGACCCGTGATTTTCGGAGGACAATTAAGATGACGGTGATGTGGACGTGTGGGCCACATTCTCAAACGGATGCGTAGGGAGTTGTTCAACGATCCCTAGCTTGGGCTCCTTGCTTTTGGGACTTATACAAAGGTGTTGGATTGGACCTCCCAACCGGGGGGCAAGTGCAGGCTCAGTCCAGATCAGGAGCCTCCAAGTTATACTCTTAGGTGAAAGGGTGATGACTTAAGTTCAATTTTTATAGTCAGAGAGGATTTGGTCGAGAAGGATGGTCGAAGTCCTCTGAAAGGAAGCGAGTTGTTGCCCGTGTATGGGATAACCTATTTGAATGTGTCGGGGATCTTGTGGACAAACGAGCAATGAGATCGATGGGGTCAGTTGTTTGCCCGACAGGATCGTATAAGTTATGGGGAGCTTATACGAGTTCTCTTTTGATGTGTCCATCTTCAAGGGGTTGTCACGATGTCGAGCATTATTTCACCCTTGAGGTAGATCGTGCGTGTATACATGTCTCAGTCATGGCATCGAGCGTTCCCTCGTGTGAGGTGTCTGTCTTGTGCTCGCGTAGGGATTACGTGTTGAAGTCGTGGACGTGTTCGTCTATTGAGAATGGATATGTGATTGATTATTGGGTCACATGGTTGTTTCTTTGGGGTTCCATCCCTCTATAGGTAGTCCAAAAGGTTCAATCCAGTGATGACTTTCCGTGACGAACCTTGTGGGGTGTGTGAGCCACCTACAAAAGAGGACCCCTAGGTTTTATTTGTCATTTTCTCAAGTTTTCTCCTTTAACTTTTCTTGCTCGCGCGTGAAGCTTTCCTCCCAACTTTTTCAGATTTCTTTCAAGAATTCTTCATCCAAGTAAGTTATATCTTCTTAGTAACGTATTTCTTTAGCGTTTCTAGATCAAACACCTAATATTTGTCTTGACTGGATGAATATTCATGAGTTTTGTGATGAACAATCATGAATGTTCATTGAAGTTTATGAGTTTTGCGATGAATACTCATGAATGTTCGTTGAAGTTCATGAGTTTATGATGTCGGGGACAATCTCTCTGAATAGTGGCCATGATGTCAAGGATGATCTCCCCGGATAATGGGGGTTGACTCGGGCCTCTTGTCCATTTGAGTGGATAACCCCAATGAAAATGTAGTCCACTTTAGCGTATAGTCGAGGGCTTGGGGCCACTCCTCGACCACTTCATCTCTCTTTCACTTGATCTGCGATGGAAGGGTGAATTTGGTAATGTCAAATTCACTATTTTCCCATGCTTTTTAGGTATAATTGCACACTCAGTCGGGGATGATGTTCTGCCTGCCAACTATGACGTTGAAACACACGTCGATGACGACCCCTTGGTCTGGGTCGCACCTGAGCCTCGAAATAAAAGGTCGTGTTTTTCTCATGACGCAACGGACGTGTTCAACTGTCCGGAGGTACAACTAGAAGGGATCCCCTCCAACTGGATTTTTCAAATTCTCCATCGCAACCGGAGTATTTGCTCGACGTATCCGGGAAAACGTTTTCCTATGTACGAGTTCGCATTTAAAGAGGAGGGGATTCATTTGCCCTTCAACGATTTCCAAGTGGGGGTTTTTCAGTGGTTTCAATTGGCGCTCTCTCAATTTCACTCAAACGCGCTAGCATTCATGCGGGCGTTCGAGCTTGTCTGCCAATATCTGTAAATAGGGGCCACGCTGCCCCTCTTCTTCTGTATGGTTCACCTTCAAAGACAATCTATCGGAGGAGGGCAAGCGTGGGTGTCCTTCAAACAGTTTGGGAAGCTCTTTAGGCCTTATCTGGAATTTTTCTGACACTTCAAAGAGAAGTACTTTGTTGTAAAACCTTTGACGGACGCAGCCATAGACTCCATATACACCCGCGTGGAGGAAGTGGAGGACGGGCAACCAGTTACCCGGCTCGTGGCTATATTTTTGCTCGAGTGGTAATGGAAACACTTCGAGCAAAGGCCTGAGTATTATGATGTGAAGCCCGAAGACTTGGACGCTCAGGACCAGCTCTCCTATGAGAAGCTGGCGGCCTATGTTAGGAGCTTCTCTCCCACGAGGTGTGTGGACGTGAGCAACAACCTTCTCTTCAACAAAAATGGGGAATACCTCTTAGTTAATAGGTTTATCAACACGAAGGCCCTACTCGAGTGTTCCTCAGACGAGGAAGCCATGAGGCTTTTATGTAGGGGGACGCGGTCGCGAGGATTACTTTTGATTGCCTTTCATGTGGGAACATGCACGTGTTATTATCCTTGTTTAACCCATGACTGATGGTTCCTTTTTTATTGCAGGTCGAATGGCGTTCCTCTCTGAGTGCTTATTGAAGTTGAGGCCCAAGAACGCGTCCACTTCAAGGTCAAAGAACAGAGTCACCCAGCTCTAAGAGCAAGCCAAATTTATGGCCCGTGTCAGCGGTTCCCCCTCTTCATTAAAAACCTAGGTTCCCTCTGGCGAGCCCGCTCAGATTCCCGTCAGCAAGCCCGCGACAAAGAGGAAACACGTGCAGGATGTCGAAGGTATCGTTCCCGAAGGTGACAAAGTTCATGCGGGGGTCTTCGTTCTTCCTCCTTGCTATCTAAACTGTGATCTCTTCAGCGGGGAGAGCTCTTTGGGCATTCACGAGGACGAGAGGGAGGCGATTATGTCTGAGGATATGGAAGTTCGTCGAAAGAATTTGGCAGAGGATATGGTCGCTGTTATGAGGATCCTCAAGATGGACCTTTCGCTGAATGACGAGGCTGCAAGTTCTCAGACCTCCCTCGACGTAGCATATTCTAAGATTCTAAAGTTAAAGGCCAAGAATCAGAAATTAAAGTGCGACATCCTTAATCACAAGTTAAAGTTTGAGGCTTAAGTTTGACTTCTCAAGGATTTAAACAAGTTACGGCCCCAACTGGAGGTCGTGACCAAAGAGAACGAGTGCCTGGTTGCCTGAATGAAAGAGTTAGAAGGGATCACGACCTCGGTTGAAGAAGAAATCGATGTAGAGAAGGGCATGGTGTCCAGAGAAGAGCTAATTGTGCGCATTCGAGTGCTCAAGAAAGACGTTGTGGACACCCTCGGTTATGGTTTCAACACGGTCGTTGAGCAACTGAAAATTCTGAACCCGAAGGTCGAGATTGTGGTCGAAGGAACGAGTCTGTTCAACCAAGTGATTGATGGGAAGATATTTTATCCCCCAAAAAAAAGTGGCGTGGAGAAGAATCAGGAAGTCATGCGTTCATGGAAATATTTCTGTAACTGAAGATGAAGATATATGACTTGTAACGAGTGTCATGCGCTGCAGCGTGGGGCATGTTTCAGTTTCGTGCCGGTCGGGACAAGAAGTGTGTCGAGGGGCACACTTTTTGGACTTTGTGACGGGTGACATGCGCTTGTGACAGACAACATGGCTTCTGATACAAAATCGTTTGCATTTTTGCTGCTAAAGTGCCATTTCTTCTTCACTTTTCAAATATTTTTCTTCCTTTTCTCATGTATGCTTTGCAGAAACTAAATACCTGAAATATGCTACAAATAATACAAACAAAGACATAATGCGACATAACAAACGAAGAATGAAGCTTTATCTATGTAAATCGGGCGAAATATGCTATAACTTTTCGTGTTATCAAACTCCCCTAAGCTTGAACCTTTGCATGTCCTCAAGCAATATAGTTGGTATGAAAATCAATAGAGCACAATTTAAATGAAAATGCATGATGCAATTCGAATCGTAAGAGGCTGTGCCAATGTTTTCGCGGGAACATAAGCTCAACATAACATAAAAGATACATTAATAACACTAAATGCACCCACTGTGC